TTGCACTTGTATGTCAATCAAAGAACATATTCTTTGTATTGAATATCGTGCACCCTCCAACTGTTAGTGTAACCTAAGTTTTTATTCGAAAATCTGACGTATGATCACGATAAAATGAAGATAGTTTTCTTCGTCTGTCTGTAATAATTATAGCAAATAGGTAATTTTCTATTGAATTCCTCATTACCATACAAACCTATTAGTTTTTCTTCTTAGTTAAACGGAAGGTTTCTAGATTTATGGTTAATGAAAATAGTGGGAAATAATGAAGAAATCTTTGTAGAAATGTTCTAGGGTAGAGAAAAATCTGTGCTATTTATCATCAACGTTTACTGGGTCGAGTGACTCAATATTCAGAAGAAATTATCTCAGAAAATTGAAGTAAATACAGTAGAATAAGACATTTTCGTTTGTTTTTAATAAATTTATGAGGTATTAAAGTTTTCAGTAATTTCAGCATTACAATCCTGACTATATAATAAGTTCAGCTAATTATATCCATTGGCTTCCCGCATAAACATTAGGTGATTGGGATTTTCAGTTTTGATACTGTAGTGCACATGTCTGTTGACCGAATGAAGTGGATTACAGGATTCTACACTATAAACAAGTTAGACAAGTTAACAGGACGTAAGAGATAATTATTAACAGAGAGTCTTTTTCCACAATTTAAACCAATAATCGATCTAAGTGAGATCATGATATAAAATCTGTAAGCACAGAAAGCACCAGTTTCGTCCTTGAATGATACTCTACGGTCATGCATATCCATAATTCTGCGCACTGGAAACGAACCGAGGACATTCGGTCTCGCATGCAAGCGAATGACCTTTAGACCAGTGAGCCTCAATCCAACAGTCATGATGTCTAACCTCAATAGATTCACGATAACATGCAATGTTCATCTATCGCTCCAGGTGAAAGTTCCCCATTCGTCAAGGTTAAATCCCAATAGCCTCGAAATTTCATGAATTGATTGAAGTTAGACATAGATATTATCAGATGCTCGCCCAGTGGCCTAAAAAATAATTGTTCGGGAGCGCTGTATAAATATTTGGGTTAATGACCATTTATTAAATTTATCAGATATTCTTCAGTACTCAAAGATAAATGTAACATGAATATATCATTTTTCTATTTCTGTATCCGAATCGCTTGATTTGTACAGTTTTAAAATGATCTAAACCAAACGATATTGGCAATAATATTTACTTAAATGTATGGTTTTACTTCAATGACTTGAAAATGAATTTAAAACAAAAGATCTTTCCAAATGGTGATAATAAAAGTTTACAATCAACAAGACATTTTAAATTATCGGACTATGTTTCTTTCATTTCCAAAGATAATGACTATATCTGAAAAAAACAATACATCTCTTTTGTTCAACTACAACCATTCCCATATCACTTTTAATTCAAAAAATCTGAATATATTTAATGAATCTGCAAATAAATTTTACAACTGATCATTTTTCTGATGGCTATTATCCATTGGGTTTAAGAATGAAAAGTCTAGACAGTAGGAATATATAACATGTAAGAAAAGTTAACACTTAAAAAAAAGCCGAGAACAAATACCAATAAAGACAAGTATTATATCATGTGATAGTTGAAAAAAAACTCCAAGTGCTGATACAAGAGGCATGTTAATCATTGAATGTTTTTTGATGAAAATGCTAACTGGTTGAAAATTTTGGACGGTTTAATGAAAGTTGTGTTTTTTAAATTATTTTAAGATTCAATTTTTGAACACATGAATAAAGTTTAATTTATTGAAATTCATTCCATTTAATATGTGTCTAGTTTAACAAAGTGTTTCAGTGTACTTTTACACATTGAAAGAAAGTCCAGAAGCATTTTTTTATTCCTCAAGCTGTTTGGAAATAACATTAGGAAACCTTAGTAAAAGTTTTGTTGATGTCAGAAGAAAATTACTGAGCCCAGTTAGATAAAACCTAGCTTTGCAGTTAAAAGATAATGCAATCAATAAAAGCGATTGCGAGATTTAAAACAATCAAATGAGGATATAGTGAATAATTCTGTAAATATAATTTTACTGATGAAATTTCACGTTGCAGACTGACTTGAACTAAATCAGTATTGAAAACCAGAGTTAAAAATCTGTTTGGTTTAGATAATGAATTTTCTATCAGCTAACCAAAGGAACTTGATATTTATAACTCTAAATAGAGGAACACGACTATTCAGTTAGTGTATCATTATGTTAAGTTGAAGTTTTCACGAAACTTAAAGCCCGAACCCATTGAATGGATGTTTCATTTTTTATTCACTAATTAATTTAACCAGAAACAATACTGACAAAAAATACATTAAACAGATAACAATGAATAATGTAATTTCTGAAATTACATCTTGATGAGGAGTTATCAAGGGCTAATGAGCTTTTTGTGCTTCCATAAAGAAACAATAAAACTTGGGTTTATTAGGCCTGATAAAAAAAGGTAACGTCATTTCGAACTCATTCTATATACATTTTAATTTGTTTGGAAATAAAGAATGAATGAACTAGTCTTTATTTTATTTAAATATATAAACACTGGCACAAAGGAGCACCTAAATATTTATGCGCTTTAGAAATTATTGAATTTTTATGTGAACTAGGAAACTGCCCGTGTGGCCAAAATGAAGCAAGCTATTATCTTGGCAGACTATTTCTCGAGCACTTTACTTACAGATCTAAGGCAGTGGATCAATATCAGGAGGTGCGATCCCGTGGTAGCAGGTAAACAACAGTAAGTCCATATGCTATTGGTTCCTTCAGGATTCTGGAAGCCATGTGTACCATTGGTTTAGAATCAAGGTTTTAAACTCTCCTACGTGACATGAGAATGTAGTGAGTAGGACATTCCTGGTTTTACGTCCGTGGCCATGTAAGAGCGTTTCGGTAGGAACAGTAGACTCCCCACACTCTCGGCCGTACCAGTGCACTTGTTAGCATAAAATAGGAATCTCCTGTAAAATTATTGCAGATAAATACGAAAAATTTCGTAGCAGAAATGACAAACATCTAAGTACATGTTGATCTGAGTACTTAGTATATAGTGCGTATTTTATTGAACTTTTAATTTAAATAAGATTGCAAAATTAATTGCTGGTATAAGTGTAAAGAACTTAGAGTAGGAGAAATAACATGATAACTAGTCATCATATCAAGTAGTCGATTCACATTTTACTTGATTCATCAAACATATAAAGACTGAATGATAATAACTGAATTACATATTTTAATGTTTGATAAGTAGTAAAGAAAAAAAGTCGTTATATAATTAGAACGAATAATAATGCATTAGATCTCTGAGGGTGTCCATAAAAACGATCTAAAGATGTTTCTATTCAAAACAGAGTTCTGAGGTTTTAATCTAGATAATTACTGTTTTCGATGTTTAGGAGTATGAAATTGACTAGTCATATTAAGTCTCCAACACTCCTAGATGAACATTGTAAACTGGTAAATGATTTACTTCTATCAGTCGTAGTTATCCAATGTAATCATTTCTCCATTTTCATAACCCACTGAAAATTTACCAGAAGAAAAGTACACATTCTGTTTATGCTATTTATGTTTTGTTAGATTAGCAATTGGTAAATAATGGATTATAGCAATTTTTAGTTATTATTTCATTCCTAAAGTAAATACTGAAACATTATTTTCAATTGATCTTAATCATTTGATTTTATTTTCTGTAAATAAATATATTATTGTCTACATTTGTACAACGGAGGATACAGGGAAATATTTTTCGATCGAATTAAATTTTTATGCGTAGGAAGTCAATGGTTATTTAGTCTAATCGTGTTTAGTTATTTAAACGATTAGTTCTCCTTTAATTTCATTCTTCTATTTTTATATATAACAATAATTTAAACCAATGAAAATAATTTGTTTTTATCATTGTCAATAGTTGGTGTGATTTTTAATAAAAATAAATTACTTTTTTCGTAGATTGTTTACGATAAAATCACTATTCTCTGAAGACGTAACTTTAATTATAAAATTATTGATATACACTATGGGGAAATTATGGTTATTTTAACAACGACGGTTTTTAAAATAATTATTTCAAAATTCTAAAAATATTATGGGTGACTTATCAAACTAGCTCAATGATTATCTTTCAAAAGCTCATATTTGACGCGATTACAGCTCGATAGTAAAGATATCTTACAAGAACTTACAAGAACTGAATAATTTTTTGCAAAGGTTGGTTCTATTTGTTTAAATAATCGTTATGCAATGATATCTACTAGCAAATCATTGGGGATTCTTGAACGGGACAACACAGTTATCCTGATCATTTGTTTTTCTAATAATTCTCAAGTCATTGTCGGTATTTAACGAAAATTATCATTAAATCGAACGAATGTTCTAAAACTTACACAATCAAACTTTTCAGGTTACGTTTTATGAGTGAGATCTAGCAGTTAGCTGGTAAGTTGATTAGTTCCTCCGTTATATCAAAATAGAGCTTTAAGATTTTAGTTTCTTACAGAAGATTCATGTTACTTTTTAAATCTAATGTTTTTGTTTCCACTGAATTAAACTTAAACGTAAAATTCATGAACCTAACATAAAGTTGATAATTAAATTGAAGTACATACTAATTGATTTTAAAAATTTTTTTATTACTCTTTAATCCTTAGTTTTTCTAGTGTATAAAACATTAAATTTTCACATATTACTTACAGCATTTTTATTAGTACGCAATGTGAAATTGATTTTTAAAAGATTTTCGAGTACGGTATCTAACTGAACACTGCATGCTCAAATAGATTACTTAATCATATTTAAGAAATTACATTTCAGTTGGGATTCATACATAACTCTTTGATGTCCATTGAAATCAGAGTTTTCTTGTTAACATGATTTTAATTCATCCAGAGAGCTGATCATGAACAGAATTTCTTCTTTTTTTTGTGATTTTCTCATAATAACCCATTTTGGAACTATATATCTGTATATTTATTTTATTTTCATAGAAATCTTGGCAGCACTGGACTTCGAGTATCTGTACTTAGTTTAGGTAAGTGTACGTTTATTTGGAAGTAAGTTAATGATGATAACTGTATCTAATGTTAGTTTTGTGTTTTATTAGTAAAAAGGTTATAACTTTCAGTAGTTCGCAGCATTTTTATTCAGTAATAAATCGCTGTACTACTACACCTTGTTAGCTTATTTAATAAATAAAGTAGATACAAGATACATTTCGTAGTTAAAATAACTTAGATAATCATTTTGCCTATAGGAGATCAACAATTGCTATTGAGATCACAAACGAACCTAAATTAGAGGGAGAGTCATTGAATTCAAGAAGTAATAAACAGTTGTTTCATTATTTCTAACATAGACTGTGGAGTCACAAACTAGCCCTGCCCAAATAAGACGGATTAAATATTGCTTGTTAGCTTTCAGTGGCTGTCGAGCTTTTATGGGTTAGTGATACAATTCAATGGGTGAAAGTTCGAAAATAGATATATTTATTTGCTTGCCTTTGAATATATATTTGAATATCTATAATTGATAATGGCGACTCCAATTTATTTTGGGCCTCCTATGTTGTTAACTAGAAAACTAAATAACATCAGTGTACATGAAGAGAAAAGTGTATATTAAGCAGCATATAATCATAATCTAACTGTTGGTTTTAAAGTACACATTTTAACATAGTTGTCAAATTTAAATAAGGTGTAGTACAGTATGATGTTGTCAGCATTTGCCATGAACAGATGGCAGTTGGAGGACTGTAGAAGGCGTACAAACACAAGATTGTCATTTAGTTAGAATTTAAACCTCTTCCTCAATATATACTCATCATTTCTGTTTGGAATACCCTTAAAAATTATGCAGAACGTAATACTACTATGGTTGTAATTAGATAGTTAGTCGGTTAGTTTTTCATGAATTATAGTATTCGTTTCAACTCTGCTGGCAACTCAACTGTTTGAATGTTGATTTTGTTGACTTCATCAGATGATAACATTGCTCTCAGTAAGTAATAAATTAGTTTGTCAAATTAATACATCAGACAAATTTTATATGAATATGGATATAATGCACAGAATTAATTAAATTCGTTGATGTAATAAAAAGTTTAATTTTGAATGATAAATTATAGTATAATCTATCACACTGATAAGGTGATATGAAGCCACAATATAAACTTCGAAATGAAATCTGATCAACAAATTTGCTCTGGCGAAAAGATATCACTTGGCAAAATTTGATTACAATAAGCTTTACAAAGGTTTAATCAAACTGACTCGGTAATCTTGATGATACTAAGGCATACAGTTGCATTTATATGAACAATGTATCTGACGTTCATACATCTGCAGTTATAACAGATCATATATGATCTTATTGTTATTCAGCATTTATCACATTATGCAACAGAGAATCCTAATTCAATCGATTGTAGACTGTAATATCAGTTTGATTTTTAGATGTTTTGCTGTCTTTTTACAAATCTTAGTTATCAATTTTTATTTGTAGTTTTCACATTTTATTCTCCTGCTCCTTTGTTGATGAAATCAACTTTGTTTCCTACTCCAGTGTTTGTTTTTGAAATTGTAAAGTTATTGTTGAAGTATTCTAACGGTTCTAGACTGTGATCAAAGTTAACCTTGTTTTCAAACACTGCAACCACTTTTGTAGCTTCATAATAGTTCCTTTGTCATTGTTGCTAATTCTAAGTTTAAATTGAATGTTGATTAAACAGTATACATTTATGATCTTCACTGACTTCAAGACGGTGATTTTAATAAGCTTTGGAAAATTCTGAATAAGTCCTTGAGTAATATTCAATAGCTTCCGACTGGAGTTAGATCAAGTGATGCTGAAAAACATCTGCGTTTGTGGTGTTGCCTATTTAAAATGTTTATTCCCAAAATGTGATTGATTATTCTTTGGTTGTTGATTTTGTAATATGCTGAATTGAAATCAAGTTTATGAATTGCTGTTTTTATTTGCAAAGAATTTATTTTCTAGACTTAATTTAATTAACTTTCTTAAATTGGTTCTTTTTATTTCTGTTCACGATTTCTTTCGTAGACCAATTCTGTTTAACTTACAGATAAATTTTTTTCCAAATCACATTTTTACATAAATGTACCATATGTTTCCATCTGTAATCAGAGGAAGTTAAGGGAAAATTCAGCATGGATTTCTTTTTGTTTTATAGAAGTAGAGAATTATTTTCAAGTGAAATGTGTGACAAATTTCCACTCCAGTCTTTTACTATTAAAATCTATAGAAGATATAAGGTTACAAACAGAGAAAATAAGTTATTTTGAACACAATCTATTTGTGATCTTTTAGTAGGTTGCATTAGATAATGGTTTTGATAAATGTTCTTGTATGTAAGTGGGAAATATAATTTTCAAGAATAATATTCAGTAATATGTTACTTTTTCAAAGTGTTGTAGTTCACCATAAATGTCATAAATGTATCAAACACGAAAATGTGATTAGTAAATTGCTTGTCAATTGATAGAATATATATCTGACACATATCTCATAAATTTCCAATAAATAACCGAACAAAACTTATGATTTGTTTTTAATTTTGTCTGATATTGGTTATTTGAACAAAATAAGCATTTCGTAGAGTGTTGGTGTTTGTTAGAGACCCGAAACAGTTAAGTATTGATCAAAACTCTAGAGGAGATAATTCATTAGGAACTGGATAAGATATAAAAAATGCTTTATAACCCACAAACTGACAATAAAATAAATAATCTAAAAGGATCACGACTAATCTAGACAGCGTACATATTGAGATGCACGTAAAACAGAAAAATAAGCACTAAATATTCCAAGTGTCACCGTTAATTCTTATCAGACAGAGTAATGAAATATAAAACAGATGAAAATGCGATTACCTTCAGAAGCATTTTTATTTAAGTTTGAGATTCGATGTCATTTTGCATCTGTGATTCCATACCCAAACCATTCAATTGCATGCCTCAACAAACTTTCAGCCTGAAGGTCGAGATCTGAGACACCAATTTTTTAACCTTTTCATTATATATGAAATGGTTTTATTCTTTTGGGACGATTTGTAATAGCTGCTTACCCGAATTTATCATTCTGTATGACTATTAATATTTTATAAACAACACACAGAAAATTAGCTTCATCAACAAGGTGAGTTTGTGGGCTTAGGCTGGAAGTGGTAAAAGACTGATTTCATATAACATAATAGATATGAAACGAAGTATCAACATGATTTAGAAAAAAAGACATTCAATAACTTATTTCGCAGTTCACTTGTGCCAAAATAAATAGGTTTGGTTACAGGATATCAGTATTTGTAATTTTCATATCTTTATGTTTCATTGTGTCGTACTTTAACCAGGTAATTAGGCTTTTTTTGATCTGCTTTTAATAGTATTTAGTTTTTAAGCTGCCTTAACTGTATAGTGATATCTGATAATAATAGTTTTTATCTTTAGACTAGTAAAAAATCAGTTAAAACTAGCAGAACAAAGTCAATTATCGGATGCAGTAGCGCAAGTTATATTGCATGCTTCTTTTTACGAGATGAAACCATGATAGTGTTGTTCAAATCCGAAATCGTCTTTTCAATTAACTTTTACCGAGAAAAATTAATAGTTAAAGATAGTGAAAGAAAAACAACAGTTGGGAATTTGTGTTTTTTTCTCATTAGTTCGTTTTCTTTTTTATCAAAACGACTTTAAAAAAACCTGTTTTAATGAAGACACATTTCAAAAGAAATCTTTCACCGTATATAATACAAGTTGAATCGAGTAAATCATAGTTTTTGTAAAACAAGACATTCATTTCATAGTGTCAGTCAAAATTCTTTCACTCAAACAAGATGAATTAATTTAACATAATGTAAGTGTTCTGACATTGTCACTCTGATCTAATTAATGGTTTTTAAGAACTAACATAAAATATTTGCTAGTTGCTTGGTTCCTTTGAAAATTTTCGCAGCTGAACAGCATTTTTTCTACCTAATTATTGTAAAGAATAAAGTTTAACATCGGTATCATGCTGTGGAGACTGTTGAGTTTCATTGAAATAATGAATCTACCACTACCAGACCACCATTAGAAACCTAGAAGCACTGGGCAACCGTTATGTCCTGATACTGAACTAATCAACATTAAAGCCATTGGATGCTACCACAGTGGTCTAGAGTTTAACAGTTCGTGCATAACCGCGCACTGATGATGAGTCTCATACTAATACAAAACGGCCGTCTATTGCGTTCAGGTTTCTAGTGGCGCTTTAACAATCTCTGATTCATGATTTCAATCAAAATAAAAATGGAATAACTGTTTTAAATTATTAGTTTATAATAATTAAACTTATAGTATTTTCTTATACTTACATCCACTTAATTTTATACTCTTTGGAATTCCAGGTACAGATGTTACTTTCGGTAATCAGATACCGGATGAGGTAAGTGTTTGAACCATTTATTTGATAAGTTGATGTTGACTGTGATATCCTGGGAATAGCTTTACGTCTTGTTCATTGATCGGTGCAAATAATCTAGTTTTAGTTATACTTTATCGTAATGAGAATTTTTGGAAAACAATAATTTCTTAAATTTTTAAAGGAAGTTTATTTGTGAATTCGAGAACTCACATCCATGCTTTCGTTTTTTGTTGCGTTGGAAGTCTGAAAATGACATAAGTGCATCTCATAGAGGTGTTCAACTAGCTACTTAGGTGGGGAAACCAGGGATTAATAAGAATCTTTTACTAGCAGACCGAATCAAAATATATACAGAATCTGTTATTATGGATATATGTTCTACAGAAAGTTAGGTTAGATTTTCCAACAATAGAGCACTTCTATCTCTATTGGAAAAGTAGGTAATATCCTGAATAGTAGTTTGCAGTCATCATCATCTCTCACTTGGCATTTAACCTCAAACTGATATATCTAATCTGCTCAGCCTGTGACTCTTTCTTCCCCAAAATGATGTCTGCACTTTTGAGTTCAATTACAAGAACTGAGATGAAAGTATACCCCTTCTCTTTCACGTATCACTACAACATGAAAAAGTATACTTCTAAGAGCGTTCATAATCGACTGTGAATTAAAAACCATAGGGTTTTAATTAACCTAATTTTTGACGATTTTACATTGATGACTTACACGTCTGCACAGGATTGACGATAGATACAGTCGTGTTATTCTGAAATCATAATGCGTTATTCAGAAATAAAGCAGAATAATTCCAATAAAGAACTTTTCTTCAGTGTTTTGTCAGAGTATATAACTATCAGTTGGAGATTAGTTGGAAGAGACTGAAGATTATTAAACTAAAACTTTAAAAAATTACTCTTTTTTTCGTTGTTAGATTAAATAAGTAAGTGAATGTTAAAAGATTTCATGAATAATACTGTCTGTTTAACTTGTTAATTTAATCTAAGCAACGATGTATAATTTCCATTCACTCACTTAGTTTATTAGGAGCTTATAATTACTTTTTAAACGGAACGATATATTTGATGATAATATAGTAAGTAGTCACAGATTTTTTAACTGCATTAAATCATTTTCTACCGTATTGATTATTTTATCGATCCATTATAATGCATATTTCACCTTAAAAAATAATGCCTAATTGAAGAAGTTAGTTCGATGTAGGATTGTGTTTTGAATAAAAGAATACAAAACCATTTGTCTGTGGAACTACAAAGTTTTAAATTATAATTTTTAAAAGAGTATCATGAATGTAAATCATAAATCAAATTATTGAAGTAAAAGCAAATAAAATGTTGAATACCAAAACGCAAATACGATCAGTGTGTTACGATTAAGAACAGATTAGATTACGAATTCTCAAAGCTCTTGTAAAATATGCCCTATTCGGGTGTAATGATCTAAATATTCGAGTAAACCATTTGCCGGAATTTACTGAATAGACGTCTTTGAGATAACCAATCGATACAAAAATTTAACAAAAGCATTGAATGTCCAGAGCTATTTCAGAAATCTTTAGTGAATATCTGTTATACAGATTTGTTGAAATACTGACATTTGTTGTTGTATATTGTGTAGCTAATTATAATTTAACTCTGAGAGACTTACTTGTTATGAGACGTAAAGAAGGGATTCGACTATGGTATAAACGAATAAACATGAGTGTTTTCATTTTTTTTTCGCTAAACTTTAGATTGCTGAGAAGATTGTTACAGTGGCTTACAATAATGGAATAAATGTTTTTGAAACTGGTGAAGCTTATTCAAATGGAGAGTAAGTGAAGTGACAGAGGATGTATGGTGATTCTTTGTCCTTAAACATTTTATCTTTTCAATGAAAATTGTGCTTAATAACAGTAAGCCAAAATTCGTCAGTAACTATTACTTTTTGTTAACGATAATTGCTCAGTGTCGAAATTCAATATTTTTAGCTAACATAAATGAGACTGCTAATTTTAAATATTAGTGTTCTGTTGGAAAGGCTAATAAGCACAAGTGAAATAAAACTTCTCTTGATATGTGAATGAAATAACTAACATTCTTATCCCAGCTGTAGTTGATTGACATTAGAATGAAATTTAGTTATGATCTGAGTTCTTCACAACAGCATTAGTAATTTCTCGTGTTGGTCAACAATTGTCGCGCTACTACAAGCGATGTTTTCTACATAGGTTATCCTCGTTAAGGAAAATACCTCGCTTTGATTGAAATTGAAGTGGGAAGGGAATAAATATTTAAGCCAGGTTATGGTAAAATGTAAGTTCATGCTTCTTTGTGATTAGCGAAACAATGAAAACAAAGTTTAGTACCTAAGATTATTATTTGTAGTTTTTTTAACAACTCTATAACATGCTCTTAACATGCTTATACTCCTACAAATGAAAAAAGCATCCTAATACATAAAATAGTTGAAAGCAGTTTGTAATTCCATGAAGTTCATGAGCGCTATTTATTGTTGGGCTTCACTAATGAAAGTATGTGCAACAAGTTATGAAGTAGTCCACTGAATAATGTTCAATACTAACATTTTTCAACATCAGTTCAAGAGATATTCTGAAAATAACTTTTTGGAGGATTCTTTTTCTGACAATAATCACTCTATGTAAGTAGATGTATATTTACGAAAATTGGCTAACTTTAACGTGTAAACAACTGAAAGATTGAGGTTGAATCCCATTTTTTCTGAATAAATGGTTTAACCCCTAAGGAATATCGAACTAGAATAACGCATAAATAAAAATGATATAAAAAAATGAAAAAAATGAATCATAATGATGAAATAAAAGCATGAAAATTGAAGTTAGTTTATGATAAAACTCATGTTCACAATGTTCAATAATGTTATTCGCCGGAAAATTGTAAAATGTAAAATAAAATACAACATATATGATTAAATAAAGCGATATATTAAAGATTAATTTTTTCGTTTTAAATTTTATTTTAGGGCCGAAAAAACGTTGGGTAGAATACTGAATACTAAAAATTGGCGGTAAGTTTCCTAATCTGTCTATCATTAAACAATTCAAATTAACAATAACATATTTAATATACTTCATACATGTATTGATAACTATTACTTATGAAACAATTAAATCGTGTTGATAAGATTTTTGAACACTAGTTTTACTTTATTCAGTTATACGCATGAAACATCAGAACACTTGATTAGTAATGGGCGCAAAAGTTCACTATTTTATTTGACTACATATGATTGTTTAATTTATTGACTTTTGTTATTTTTGTCATTGAATCACAGTGATTATAGACGTATAACTGTAGGGCCTGATGATGCAGTCATTCGTGGCAATATTTTATGTCTTCAACTATTTTTCATTGGGAATTTTTTAATTGCTGATTGGTAATTATTTAAAATATTTATTCTAATGTAGTTCTTAATGTAATTCAAATAGTAAAGTTCAGGTGTAGATAACTAATAGCTAACCAAATAATTTCGAAAACATTGTGTGTGAACATTTTAGATTTATGGAGTATTCAATACTAGTTATTGATTTACAACAGTTATCAATCTAAGGAATAAACATGTTAGTTAATAAAGCAGTCATCTATCATAGCATAAGTACGGTTTTTTAAGCGTAAACTTCCGAAAAAAATTCTTATCGTATTTTAAGGTAAGTGTATCTGAAAGTTTCTACATTTTTCTAATGGATTCATTAAATTTTGTCTTTCCGATTAGTCATTTATGACAGTGATTTAAAAATATGACATCTGTTGCAATAAAGCTTTTTCAATATGTCAACCATAAAAATTAACGACACGATATACTCTTGTACTGTTATTCACGGTTTAATATCTATCGTAATGTAAAATAATGAAAGAATCAAAGCCTCAGTGGTTAGTATGTTCTTATTCTTGGCTAAATTTCGATTTTAAAAAAAGTTTCACAAAATCTTGATTGATAAAGTCATTTGGAGAAAAAGTGATCAAAAACATCTTTCCCTTTGGACATACTTACCTGATAATTCTTTCTAAGCATTATAACTCATACTTCGTGAATATTCACAATTTTATTGTTGAATAAAGAAGTATTCATTCCTTTATACTTCATATAGTTTGCTAATGGATCTTGATTAGGCGAAAAAGCTTATATCGTAATTAAAAGTCAGACAGGTATTTTCTCTATTTTGAATGCACAAGTAATATATGACTTGCATTATTAATCACAACTATCAATTATTACATACAATAATATAAGGTTTTTATTGGTTAAGCATATGAAAAGGGAACTAGAAATGCGAATGAATCTAGGCATTTATTATGGATTTTTATTGTTATAAGCAATAAAAATATACGAAATGATAATCAGTCAAATACTTCAGTTTGTAAATGATCATTTTTTAGTTTATGTATCTTTCTTTATAGTTAGGTAGATGAATGAATAAGATAATTATGCTTTGTACAAGTATGGCCAACACAAAATGACTTTATCTCACTGCACATGTCTAGTCTTTTAGTGGATTGAACTTTTCGTTCAATCTTTAAGGTAGCACAAACGTTTCATATGAGTTTAATCAACAGTTTAATTTAATTGGCGAAAACGCTTTCAAAACTGTTGGTTTTTATTATTTTCATCTTATGCCTTTCAAGAAGCATGGATCGTTCACAATTTAAATTTGAAGTGAATGTTCATGGTTTCTATCAACTATAAATGAACATTTGAAATCAATCAATCATTGTTAGACCACCATTAGAAACCTGGAAGCAACACAAACCTCTGCCCCAAAATATCGTAACAGTGCTCACTAGTGACTAGCTTCGTGAGGGAATTCTCGGAGTTCTAGTTGAGAAGACGTGACCAATGGAGTTCAACCCTGTTGGGTGTAGGCAGTAACTACCAAAGACAAATGGGTGAGGTCGCGCAAAATCCCTAGATCAATCAGAGTTAGACATTAACACCGTTGGATGCTGGCTCGGTGGTCCGATGGTTAGGCGTTCGCGCACAATACCGAAGGTCCCGGGTTCGAACCCTGCGAGGTGAAGGAGTAGTGGATGCGCACTGCTGATGAGTCCGATACCAGGACGAAACGGCCGTCCAGTGCTTCCAGGTTTCTAATGGTGGTCTAACAATGACTGATTGATGATTTCAAAAGTGTAAAATCACAAACGTCCAAAACTCTGCCCCAAAATATAAATGAACAGCTATGAAGATAGATTCATTATCATACAGTGCTTGTTTCATGTTGCGACAGTCATTGACAACAATTCAAGCATTTTTTTAAAGATAGTACATTTAATTTTTTGTGTTAAACTAGTCATTTGATTAAGTTCTAATTTGAAGATGATTATGTCAATATATGATGATTGTTTTCAAAGCCACATGAAAACAAATGCAACCATTGTATAACAGTCAGCCCACTTATTTTTATAGTACAAATGATAGCAGTAATAATCGCCATCATCACTTTCAAATCAATCGAAATATTATTGTGCTAAAACACATTTCTGCTGTCTACTTTCTGGAATCTGTTAATGACTAGTAACCCAATTGTTTTTATATACATCTTGATACTAGATTAAGCAACTTCAGTGTTTAACGTAGAAATCCTCATTTACAGAAAAAATTAATCACTGATAAGAATACAATTAACGACTTAAAAGTTTTTTTGAGTAGACGCGTTCATATTTATGTAATAATGAACGGTGAGTAGCAATAGAATCTAGGACTTTCGTCTCATTCTATTTGAGACTTGTTAGCTGAATGTAATTGCATCATACCCTCTATTTCTATTTCAACTTTTAAGACGATAAATAATCATCATTATTGTTCACTAAAATTTGACTTCTTGAAACTATGATCATAATTTGTCAACAGTCCGACATCCTACACCCACTAGTATCAGAATTCAGTTGTAAGCTCAAAAAAATGGTCAGTTTAGTTCAGTATTATCGTATACCATCAAACTGGTGGGATGTTCTCCTTTAGGTCCCGTCTTAAGAAATATTTTTAAGACTTATCTTGAAAGAACTGAGCCTAATGAAGTGATCCATGAAATGGCGTATTGTTCAAGGTTTACTGACAACGCTTTAATCGTCATGTTACTATCAACAACATGCAGCAAATCTTCTGAAATTTTTCAATGAAGCTTATAAAAATATTCAGTTTGCCATGGAACATGTAGATGAAAAGAAGTTCGATTTCTTTAATGTCGCAATAAAGCAATGGAAGAGTAGCACAATCCAATGTTTAGTTTATGGAAGAGATACATGGAGCGGAACTTATCACAATTTTAAAAGCTTTATTACTCTCAGTTACAAAAATGCACTGGTAGAAACACTATTTTACAGAACTAAAAGAACATGTACTGCCATAACCCTAAATAACGTACAAAACGTGTTTAAAAATAACACAAACCAGCTGAAATATACTGAGAAATACAAAAAATTAGTAGATAGAAGTCCCAGAGAAACTAGATTATTTAATTGATTTCAAAGGTGACGGTGTCACAGAGACAATCAATATAAAACTAAAAAATGGATCAACAAGCACATATCATGTAACTAAATTGATTTTCTTATGCTAAACAGAATTTTCTGTAAAACAGCCAAAGTTTGACAAGTATTCTTTTTATGTTACTGTCAACTATGTTTACAAACTCACATGCATTCACCAGGGCAGTTACACTAGTGGAACAGAAAGAAGGGTCTTCCAAAGATTCTAAAAAGTCTGAGGTCATGTAGACTAAAGATGTATAGCAGTGCTATCTCTCAACCTCTCTTTATTTGGAGGACATCAGGTTGATATATTGAAGTCTATTAATGTGGTCAATAAGCCATCAGAATCTAATCTTCTGAAATTGGCAGAAACTATAGCAATCAAACTTCTGAAACCACATTAATGTGGTCAAAAAGAAACAATGATAAATGTTTCCTTGCCAGGGTAACATTACATCCATTTTGTTGGATTATCCCTTAGTTCATCTGTTTCTTAAGTTCTGATTATATTATTTTTATTTCACTTCAATTCATAATTTCAATTCTCATTGACAATGGTAAACGAAGAGAAAACTTGACATACTGACTGAATGAATGCTTGGATGATTGAAAGATAGATAGACTAATTACGTAATTGTTTGTGTTGAATTTCGTCCATTGTAGTTGAGACTGACATTACGGAAAGGATGATGGCGATGACAACAGGTGAGCGTGTTTGGTGATCGTGTCAATGCAATATATGCACTGTTTGTGTGATTGGCTGCAGTTAGATTTGAGCATGATCGACACTGCTGGAAATTCGGTGAGATGGAAAAAGTGGAGACGAAAGAGTGGAACTACACTTGAGGCTGCATGTTTGTTAGTGACTTCAACTGGCTGAATGTCAGTGTGTAGAGTGGGAGGTGCATGAGTAGACTAAGTGTAAGCCATAGATACAATGTGCATGTCGATTTATGAAGTGATTGCACTGAGATGATCTGTGAATAATTCTCGTGCTCACATCAGCCTATCACCTAACACTCAGCTTACACACTATGTGAATGATTTTGGATTGTGGTGTGAGTGTTATGTGGTTTGCGAATATTTGGTGGGTCGATGCGACAGATAGTGATGTGATTCGGTCAATTGTATTCACCACATTTTATTGCACATCAACTGACACGCCCAAATCGACCTAGCACACTGTCGATTGGACGATGTTGACGTCCACACAGTGTTTTATTCACATCAATGCACCAGTGCAGGTATGTGGGATCGGGGAAGAGTGGAGAATTATAATAACATCTGATGTATGAATGTGAAGTGTATGAGCGGATGCCGGGTTAGTGCTGCGGACTTGAATGATGGCGACTGGATGTGTTAGTATGTGGTTCGATTCGCAATATTCTTCATTACCATTATTATTTTTTCAGCTTATTCATTACTCAATCAATTAAGGTGTGTTAACTTCACTATTTCGGTGTTCTGAAACTTCCCTTTTCGCACTTTATTTTATCTGAAAAGAATTCATGTAGCCTAATTAACTTCACTTGTTATTTTTGCTACATTATGAGATACATATTTATGTCTAGTCACTTTTGTATTAATAAGTATGATAATTTTGATGAGAATCTAGAAAATTAAACTCAATTCATATTATTCTATGTTAAACCTTGCTTTTGTTCTTTTCAAGATATTAAAAGGATTTATGTGTATGTTAATTTATATGTCGTCATAATAAGATTAAATGAGATTTCAATCTCATCACTGCTGTCGGTTTACAGTAAAACATATGACATTTTGCGAGCAGATTCTCACTAAATTTGGCGTCAATGTTTCTAATGTCTATATTCTTAACCTGAGAAAATATTTTTACTATAGATATATAGTGTGTAATAAATGTTACTGTGTACATTGTTTAGTCTTGACTAATTACAACAACCTATGGGTATTCACTTTTTTATTCTGGAAGTGTGATTCTCAATTTTTACTTTATCAAGATTGTTTTACTTTTTTGAATGTTTTTAAATGAATTATGTAATATGGTTGACAAAACGCTGATTTAATTCTAATTAATTTCCCTTTCAGAAGATCCAGTTACATTGTATGCTGTAGATTGTCAAAAAGTGGAGAGTAAGTATGACACTTATTGTTGAAAATAGTTTAATTATTATAAATGTTGTTGCTAAAAATTGAAATCAAAGTAGCTAAAAAGTAACAACGATTTTATAGATAACAACATGACTGCAGTAGATATCTATGAAGCTTTGACATGGTCATATATATACTTAGAATACAATAAGCATTCTACTACATCTAATAGATTTAGTTGATAATATGTTAAATATTAACACTGCATGTTATAATGATGTGACTAATTAGAATCCTTTTACACATACAGATTCTCCTAATGACAGTAAAGAGTACTAAATACACCTCTTTTTATTTTTCATTCATTCTAATGATCTCAACTACACATACAATTTATTTCAGGAAAGCATGAATCAAATTGGAATTAGTAAGCTGTTATATTAGAATGCTTATTACTTTAATGTGTTTAAGAAAATTCAGGCTTTTACATGTTAATTACAGAGCTTTCTGACACTAGAGAGCTAATGAAGATTGTGACTATGCCATACATATATATACCTTGATGAAATCCCCTAAAAGTATCTTTGAAAATCAAGCATTAAAGCTTTTATTAAACCCATCTCAATAAATGCTTTCTGTTTTAAGTGTTTGAGTTGAAGGATATTCTGGCTCTTCTTTGTGACAATTTGTCCAGCATTTGAGTCTGAAGAACATCAATTAATGTCAAATAACAACAGCCTTGTGTCCAGGTCATGGTTTCACTAGTACTGAGTAATCCAGATCTGATAAACAAGAGGGGACCCATTCCTCCTTAGTGATTTTAAAGAATACACAATCAACGACTGAATTTCAAAGCACTGCTGTAGAAATATTTAAAATATGACTGAATCGATGGAGCGCTGGGTCGAAATGATTTTCAGCCAATCAGAAACAAACCCTTTTATCCTGTTATATCTCTAGTAAAATTAAGGGTTTTCGTAATATTGTGAACAGTTCTATGAGTATAAGATTGCTGGATGTGTCTAAATTATCAGTAAACATGAAAGAGTATAACCTATCAAAATCCCCAACCCACAGGTAATTCTTTCTCCATACAAAGAGAATTCATCAACGTTCTACCGAATGAAATGAATGTTTAAATGACTTGATATATCTGATCTGAATGTCTAATTTGAGTCGATATCTGATATCAAATATGATCATAGTTTAACGTGGTCAATAAACAATACATAAATATGTGTAGTACATGTGCTTTAAAGTCGAGCATTTTAGGGCTTGTCTCAGCCTTTGGACAATTTAATCAATCCACGTCTTCCAACCATGCCAACTATTAGCTTTTATCTTGGCTGTTTGCATTCGAGTATGTGTGTACAGCTTACTTCGCTTACTACATGTCTAGCTGAGTTTGTCTGACTATAAATACTTAGTCATGCTTCATCACATGGAGCTAGCCAACTCGCTTTCTCAATTTCGCTTTGGTTTGCTTGTACGCTTTTTATTCTCATATCTGTCTGAGCAGACGATTGCATGAAATAAATTCATCCGCCAAGCCGTATATGGTTTCTTATTTACGCCAAAGTATGATATGCGGAAATCGAAGGGAAGATTTATTTCATAGCATATTAGATTATTCGCAAATATAGGAGTGAGATTATGGGCCACTAAAGTGATGAACCCTACTAAGAATTCAAAGCAGCCACACACGATTTAACACTGGTAACTTCTGATTAGTTCTTTTATAGAAGTTTAAATATTTAAATACATTTAGGTCTTATTGATTACTGTTATAAATGGATCTGTCTGACAATCAAGGCAAACATAATTGTCGTTTGATTTTTCTTCGAAGGCAAGATAGATTTTTAGCGATCCAAGTAAAGTGATGTTATGATTTTTAAAATCCGCAAAATGCCGTTAACTATTTCTTGTTATTGTTCATTGTCGGCGTGTGAACTTCGTTTAAAGTTTATTTACTAATGAATGAAAATCCACTTTGATGGATGGTAATTTTTTTTTTGAGTGGCGTCTTAGTTCATTACTAGAAATAGCATAACTTTAGTTAAAGTAAAAGATATTTTCACCCTAATTTTCTATTTTCGTTGAAAATGAATCTATATATCAAAGAAATTCTAAATATTTATATTAACAATTTTCCGTTATTGTTCGTTGTAATGAATAAAAAGATGAACCAATAGTTGTGACTCTTATGAAGCTCTTTAAAATTTGTACGTTTATTCTTGAAAGTGTTATGCTCGTCACTAGGTATGTTTGAAACTATTACGGGTTGACCCCAGTCCATAAACGAGAAAGAGACAATGAACCAGAGTCCAGGTAGGCTACTCTGATCCGTCGACCCAAAGATAGTAACGAAAAGTCTTGATATAGCGTAGAAAGTGTATTCTACAAACACCCAGCAAGCAAAATTAACACAAGCACACAAATCGCGTTTATTTATACATCATAGAGACATCCTTGGTAGAGTCATAAAAATAGCACACTAAAGTAACACAGTAACCGATCACAGCCAAGAATTTTCCTGGTGGGAAATGAAATCTCAAAGTCTGCTGATCAGCCCATGTATAAAATCGAAAATACAGACATATATCAAGCGAGTTCTGGTGATCTAACATCTCCAACAGCAAGAGACAAATGAATGACCACTTGGTCTAACAGTCTTTCGGTGTATCATATAATTTTCGTACATCTCACTGTTATTGTTTTAGTTGACGTAATAATGTTTTAAATTATGTATTGCTTCAGCAAGTACTGATATGCAAATGCACTAAGGTGAATAATATTATCATTTACATAAGAGTAAAATTTCACAAACAAAATTACATAACATATTATCTAAAATTTGATCAGACTGATTTACTGTTTTAAAAAACTGATTAATGGAATTTGTGGAGATTTCACTGGTAAATCCCTAGTGTAAAAAGCATTTATTGAAGAGAAAAAATAAATTCTAAATCATTCTAAAAGAAAGCAGAAGTAGGGATAAAGTTTATTACATTTGGGTTTTGATATCTCGCTGCTGATGTCTACATTGAATTTCGAACTCAGTATACGTCATTTGCATACTTTATCTCCGTTCATACAAAAACACGAAGCTGTTCAACTGATATGAAGTTATTTATTCAGGTCTCTTATTAAACTTTACGACCGTATTTATAATCAGAATGCTTACACTCCAATAACCCTGAATGTAAGCCTTTGCAAAAATATATATTCAGATTCGTAATAATCAATAATTCTTTAGTTGCATTAGCATATGATTGTTTATAACTCAAATTATTTTCACTGATTGAATAATTTTTATTTTCAATATTTGTTCACAATTTACATGAATAATTGTCTTTTGTTTTAGTGCTGAAACAGAACAAGGACTTTCAAGAAAGCATCTTTTTGAAGGTAAAGAAATAATCTACATGTTACTACATGTTTCTATAAATTTCAATTTGTAATTATCGATTTTACACTGTACACATATTTCTCGAATGTTACATGTCAAAACTTGGACATATTGAAGAAGTTACGTATAAGAATATACTAATTAGCTTACATTCTCTTAAAATTACAGGTTCTGTCTATTTACTAGCTAATTTAGAAAATTTCACATCAGTATGAGTGAATTTATTCCATTCTCTTAATTAACAGCTGTGTTTTCAATCAAATTTAATGATTAGAATTCATTTATTATAAAAACTTATTTTATTTGATCATTGATTCAATAATCCCCGTAATAACTTTAAAATATCGCCATATATTCAAATCAATATATGAATATGATCGACGCGCATCACTCTTGAATGATTCTGTAATAGTAAAGCTGTAATATAATCTAATTATTTATTGTACGTAGATTATATTAGATCAATGTACCCAGGTGAACGATATCATTCTTTTTTATCCTTAGACAAGTTCGTCAGCTTTTAAATAATTCATTCTTATTACTGTTGGTATAAATGTAGGAAATACTGTTTTGTATTATATTTAGCAAACAACAGAATACAATGTTTTCATCGGAAGAGTATAACAAAAAAAAATATGAAGTACTTTGTGTAGCCTAGTTATGTCATCACAGCATGTACTTTTTGAAAAAACAAAAGATGATATTGGGTTAAATCATTCTGATAAATGAGTGTTCATATGATGGTGGAAAATGATTGATTGACTTTTGATTTTAACACTTCAATCATGTTTAGATCAGTGGTATATAAGGATATGATTTTTGTTATTATCATTGTACTTTAATAATGTGTTTGCATGATTTTCGAACTATGCTTTATTGGAATAACAATAATATTCTTACAAGAAGCTATCTATTTCTAGCAGTTTTAGAGGTTACAAAGAATAGTGTTCTTAATTTATCCTATAAGAAAATACAAAGTTCCTTACATATTGAGACTGATTAACATGTTTCAAATGTATAACGTTTCAATATCGAACTATTTATACGACTGATTTCGTTTGGTTATTGTTGTTACTGACATAATACTAAAGACATTGATCATTTCATAACATTCTCCTCCAGTTGTTCTACCGTTAGCCTTTGTACACATTTAAGAAAATTTTTATTGAAGAAACGTGAATTTCAAATGTTCTATTAATTATTTGTTTGCAACTTCGAGTTACACAAAACTGAACTACTGAGACTTTCGAGCTCAATGGATAGAGTGTAGTGGTGACTACAGTTATTCCGACCATACAGAGAAACTAAAATGAATAGTCGTGAATAGTAAAATATTATTGTCCTGTCTGTTATAAGGTTACGACTGATAAAGCAACTTTTGTCATTGGATATTCTCAAATTTTTCTTCAACAAAATCTGTATCCAGAATAAATAAATAAAATGTACTGTAGAAACATGTACTACATGGAAGTTGAGAACAAGATAAATTCATTTATTAAAAGAACTAAAAATCTTTACAAATCCTTGAAAGACTTAAGAAAATATTTCTATAAAGTCTGATATCAAAGTGTAGTAATCAAGCTATCTGGACAATTTTACATGTAAAGTATTCATGTCCAAATATTTTACTGAGATTGTTTCAAGCTGATTTACATAAGTTTCATTGTCTAAAACATGAACGTTTTTAAGTTTTTTAGATAATAAAGAATAACAAAAGAGCTTCTAACAAATCCTTCAGACAATGTATCATCAAAAACTAGTACTAATTACATAGATTAGTGTTCATAGGGTAAGTTATTTGATAAAAATGATCAACGCCAATGCCCAAGTGGTGAGTAGGAGTAGTGTGTTAAAAGGCTTCAAAAATGTGTGAACAAATTGACGTTTAAATCTTACAGAATGTGAAACTATTTTGTATGTTACCCTATATGAAGAGAGCATATCGTAGTAGGAGTATGACGGTGTGATCAATAAATATATAATTCTGAATCGATTAAATACATACAAAAAACATTTTAATATATAATTGATATATTTTTATTGTAGAATCTAGTTCATGATAAATTTAATGTTTTTACTTTACTCAATTAAATACTAGTTATCCAAGATCTTGTTGTTTTAACAAACTCATATGCAGTGATACTACTTTTATAAATATCTAATCAACAATTCTCGAATATAAACTGTCTTATTTGGCACAGATTACAACAAATATTTATTTATTATGTGCTTCTCAGTTACTATTTTACAAATGTATCTGATTTATTTTGTAAAAAAGGTCTTCGATCTTCGTTAGAAAGACTTCAACTAGAATACGTAGATATTGCGATTGTGACGCGTCAAAAAGACTCGCCTATTCCAGTTGAAGAAGTTGTCAGAACTTGCACGCATCTTATTCATCTCGGCTGGACATTTTATTGGGGTACATCTGAATGGTTACCTAGTGAAGTGATGGTAAGATTTTATACATTAATGTTTTTTTTATTTCCTAATATTGAAGTTATATAGTAGATGAAAAGATTTTTTTTCATGATTTTGTTCGTTTAAAATGTTGTGTAGAATAAATTCGAAATACTTGGAGAAGGATAAAATAAGATGATGAAAAATTTGTATTTATGAAGGGGATTACTGGAGATTGTATTAATTTCATAGTTGGAATCAGAAACTGATCATAGCTAGACTTTTATTAGAAACCTGGATGAAGATTTTTCAAGAACATGGATTGACCAAAGTTAAACACAAACACCATCGATGACCAACTTAGTGGTCTAGAGATTCAGCGTTCGAGAGAGCAAGACTAAAGCTCCTGTGTTCGGTCTCCGTATGTAGGTTCTGTGGATGCGCACTATCAAGAAGTCCCATGCCAGGACGAAATGGCAGACCAGTGCCTCCAGATTTCTAGTTGTGATCTGAATAAGATCATTTCGTGATTTCAACTACGAAAAATGTATATTTTCTAATAAAATACAACATGTTCAAAATTATCAGCTTTTGGATTATCAGATTAGGCAAACACTGGTATAAGGAAAGAGTTGGCTCATTATTAATCGGGTTAGAATTTCTTTAGAAAAAATGGTATTTATTTGAGGGGAAAAAAATTCATTGATTTTCATTCATTCGAAGACTACACTCATGACAATAAAATGTAATCAGATTTCATTTTTTAGTGAAAATCATAAAATCATTTTTCAAATGTTTTCAATGATACATGGTATATCGCTAAAGCATGTTTGAAGTCGGATCTCTGAACACACGGACCTCTGACAAACACAGAAAAAACTAAAGAAGCTTATTGAAAAAAGATGAATGATGTAGATTATATTCCTTAGAATAGCATTTATTGTAAATATAATACAAAAAGCCATTCAATAGTACATTGGATTGTGAAAAAAATTGAGCTATCAAGAAAGAACGTCCATAGAATTATCTTCGTAGGAATTTTATGTTCAGTCGATTTATGACGTTAGTTTGTTTGGTCAATAAATGTCTTCGTTAGACATTTTTCAGATGCATCGATGTATAACATTTTCGTTTGCATATGATTATATTAAATCAAACGGCCTAAATTTCGTCATTATGATGAACTTGTTGACCACATAAAGGAAGTTGATGTAAATGACAAACTTATCCTCTCGCTCGATGTCGAATCACTATTCACTTATGTCTCATAGACCATCAGTTTCATCTGCAAATATATAAATGATAATAAGATAAATATCGGAACACGAGAACCTTGTGTTATGGAATTACTATTACGGTGCACTTTCAACGTACAATTTACATTCACTGACTTAATTTAAAAACAAAACGATAGCACAGCAACAGGATCCCTTCTTTATTCACAACTAAAAGATTATGTCACGGCTAGTCTGGAAAACAATCTACTGACAACAACTATTGACAACTTCCATCAATACAGAAGATATGCGGACAATTTCTTCATCGTTAGCCACAATAAATATGATCTGAATCATCTTGTAAAGACAATGAATAACTGTCATACTGCAATAAATTGTATATTAGAATTTTGAAACAAATGAAATATTCACTTTGTCGATGTCAAAACGACAGGAAAGCAAGATGGGACTTTAATAAAACCAATTTACGCGGAACCCTTATGGAATGGCGAGCTATCAAGCTTTCACAGCTGGGTTGTCCAAATTAAAAGTTAGTTATATCCCTCGCTTCGAAGAATTTGCAGTCCCGAAGTCATAGACGACGCATTGAATCTCCTTAAGAAAATGCTTATGCACTGAGGTTTATTGATAAAAACTTAAATTAGAAGACTCCTAAAACACTAATTTCTTCCGAAGAAAACAGAACTATCTACATGAACATCAATTTCATAGGCAGTATAGTTGCTAAATACTGTGAGGATGAATTCCAAACCCTCTCAATGAAGCATTCCTCGCAGTAACTTTACTGCTAGTTTTCCCGAGCCTATCAGTGTTCACCAATAATCTTAAGTATAAATTATCGCATTTGACCAATTACATGTATATTTATCAATTCACTGTTCGTGTGGAGATAGGTAAATAGGTCATTCGATGAGTATTTTATCTAAAAAAATTCGACGACATTATCCAACTTGGTTGAAAAATGACGGAAACAGGTTAATAAGAATCTCAATAATCGAACACCTTATGAACACAAGTTATTCGGTCCAAACGGATTCTGCGTTCAAAGTCGTCTATAAACTGAGTAGAAAAGTGACGATGGCAGTTAGCTGCTATCTTATTATCAGTGCCAAAGCATTTACTATTCATTTGCAGAAACCAGAATTATGCAGCCTCTGCTACTGGGATCTTAATCTCTAACAGACATTTGCCTCCTTTCCATTTTCTTCTCTATAGATGCCTTATTCCCCAACTGTTTATATGATTCTCCTGATTACAGTCCATGTAAACTTGAAAAGTATATCTGATCATACTGCGCTTTCCAATCAGGATTTATTTATCAATCTTCATGAAAAATATTCAAGCGCCCGACAACAACATTTTCAATCCCCTTGATCAAATTAATGTTTTATACCTTTAGCTGATTTGCCTCACTATCACCATGTTTAACAATATTTGTATTATCACTATTATTGTACAACTTTAAAAAATGTATTCGTTAAAAAGAGAACTCTTCATTGAATTAATCTTTCTAATTTCCTGTCTCAATTGATGTGCTTTGTTTCTTTAACTTGACAGTAAATTGTGCAAACTAAGTATCAGTATATAAAATTACTATAATTCTACTGGCCTGATAAGCATTTCATTTCGTTTAAATGATTTACATGGTACATATAAGGTCAGCATTTTATCACATTTATCAACTGAATCGTAAAAAATTTAATTTAACAACAAATAAATACTGTATTATATAGCATGCGCATGAAAATGATCAATAAATGTTCTCCTTTTTCAATGTATCATCAATTTGATTGAATTGGTCGTGTATCGTTTTATATTGAAAATAAAATGTTGATTGTTTATTTTTTTTAAATCAATATTTCATTAGCAAGCTCAAACAGTGGCCAGACAGTTTAATCTGATTCCACCATCTGTAGATCAAAATGAATTGAATCTATTGAATAAAATCTATTTACAGAATATGCGTGAAATTTGTTTGAAACTAAGTAAGTATATAAACAAGAAAAGCACTTCTTGTAACATTTGTATTTTTCAATGATGAATAAACCTCTGTTACATACAGATTAATATCAACCTAAAACGCTCGTGTTATAAATCAGTCTGTAAGACGAACTATATAAACATTGTATTTTGCAAAGTTATGAACAGTAATCAGATAAAATTATTTTCACTCTTATTGAATTTCGAATAAATAATTTATGTTTAGTTTTATAAGTAGTATACACGCAAATGTTGAAAAAATGTTGTAGTAAATGTCAAAGTTATGTTAGTATTTGTAATCATTTCATTGATAATTCATTTCAGCTTAATTATGCAGTTTTGCAAAGATCAAATTAATCCAAAGAAGTAGTGATTTCCAAACTTAGTATTGTTGTAACGATGACGTTTCTTTCATTTCCGTAATAATCGTTATCATTAAAGTGAATGCTATAATGGTAAAATCTTTCTTTCAAATCAGCCGACCGTAATTTATTTATTTTGACGTGTATAAAGTACAGTTAGTCAAGATAGTATGAAAATGAGTTATAATTGTACTAAGATAACAGATTATCAAAGCAACTAACCAAAATATATCACAGTCAACATGAATTTTCTTGGAAATCATCAGTAGCTTTAAAAATGGCAATAAAATTTGCTCAATTGATTAAATCATGTTGACAATAATGTTAGTTTTTTATTTAAACGAGGTGAAAATGTAACAGTCTTAAGCTTTCTTTATTGATGATTTCAAGATAGCATACATGGACTTTTCACATTTTATTTGCATATAATAATAGTTTGTATAAAAATTACAATCGACTATCAAAGAATGACGTCCATGGAGTTTAAAAATGTTCATAGTGTTCAAATGTGATAGTGGGTCCATAACACATCGAACGCAATAGTATTGACTAGATAACCAATGTATACAATATACAGCATGGGATGTATGCATACTGAAACATAAATTCTAGTTCAGTATACGTCATTGTAATTACTAGTAATCAAATGTTTTTGTATGTTAATTCGTAGATGAAACTAAATGTCAATGTGTGATAACTAATATACATTGGGATATTGTACACTTTTATTTTCTAATATTCTAGATATTGGTATAATGACAGGATCACCATTAAGTGGTGGTATTTTAACTGGAAAATACATTGACTGTATACCGAATTTCTCACGAGCAACATTAAAAGTGAGTCTTTGAGTGTAAGTCTTTTTATGACAAAAAATTCGCAATTAATTTGATAACTAAAATACGATTTTTCCAGTGGAAACGATTGTATTCATAGGCTGAAAGACAACAGTCTATAGTAAAGTTTTTGCTATCTAATCAATACCAGTCTTAACAGATATAACTATTTTTAGCATTTGTTCATTTAGTTGATTGATCATTAGTAAACTTTTGGAATAGATGTTTAGATAAACATGAAGAAATATATTGTTCAAAAATCCTGTTATCAACAGGGTATTCATACAATAATAATAATGCTTATGATTTAATGCAGGGGATTTGTAGAGATTGCGTTATTTTTATGATTGAACAGACTATGATTAGAAGTCCGGGAGCATCGAACGGCTGTTCCGTTCTTGTTTGGAACTGCCCGGAATTACGTATCCGCGAATGTAATTCAGGAGAGTTGAATGTGACCGTGGACTTTAGTCTATGTCGATTAGGAGGAAGTAGTACTCTGCAAGCAATAGACGAACGTTGCATATTGGAACATTTTCATAGTTGAACTCTTAGCTAGACAACTGTTAGAAAGCTGAATGAAATTGCTCAAGAACACGGATTGATTGAAGTTAAACATGAACACCATTGGAGACCAACTCGTTGGTCTGGAGGTTCAGCGTTTGAGATCGGGACTGAAGTTCCTAAGTTCAATTCCCGTGTGCAGGTTCAGTCGATGTGCACTGTTGAGAAATTATATACTAGGACGAAAGGGCCGTTCAGTGCTTCCAGATTTACACTTATGGCCTGGTTAAGATCAGTTCTTGATTTCTATCATAAAAATGACTTTCTGATTGTGTATTATATTGAAATTTAGTCCAGTTAATAGCGTGTCTTCATTGAAGATATAAATGGATTTTCGTACAAAACGGTATTTAGCATAATTTAGATAAAATTCACTTAACTTGTTAGTATGAGTTCTGATAACCAAGTACCTAAAAGTATCAACATGAAAACAAAAGATTCGCGAGAACTGAATTGAATTACATTCAATCCACTAATTAGTTGGAAGATCAAAGCTTAATCGAATCTTAAAGTTGTATGCGAATAATGATTTTATTCAAATATTTTTGCTGATGATAAACTATAATTTTATTAATACTTGTAAACTTCTATTGGTCTTAGAATCAAGAAGATATTCGCGATAAACTTCTTTGTTCAAAAGGCTTATATCAAAGGGAACAAGTTAAACAATTATGTAAAATAGCTGGTCGAATCAAGTGTACTTGCGCACAGTTAGCTATTGGTAAGTTGTACTTGCTTTACCGCAATATATATACATATATACATATATCAACGGTTAGTATTGAAAAAATTTCTCAAGAATTGAACTTTCTTAATAAAACAAATGATTTTTATTAGAACAACATATATAAGCGAACAATATTGTTTACGATCAGATCGTCATCAGGCTTCACTTTAATATACATCAATATTGATATGAAAATGTTAAACCAATCAAGGCAATTAGAGTTAATCATCACAATGAAATGAAATGGATTAAGTCGCTACACATAATAGGCAAAACTACAAGTTGCTAGTAGGAAGACAGGTGTACTGATAGTAGGACAGAGTAATGTTGAAAGGAAAAATGTTAGTTACAATGTAAGTTTAGTCTGTTCACAAATCTAATAGAAAAAGTTGTTTTTTGTTGTTATATGATGTCAGTCAGTAAGCTACACTGCTATCGAACCTCAAGATTGAGATAGTAAAATGCAGCTTTAAGGCCAGGAAGACAACTGTTGTTTGGACACCGAAATGTGTCTTTGTTTTAGGACTTGAAAAAGTTTGAATAACTGATGTACATATCCACGTTTAGACCTGAAGTTGGTCTGTTCTTCACGAGCTGCAGTTAGGGATCGGAGTGTTGTTGAGGTCAATATATTAGTCAAAGAGACATTTCTGTGCCTGTCACAAGACGAACTTTATCTTTTCCTTTAGATTGAGACACTCAGTGATCGAGACCAGTAAAAAACGATTACGTCCCTTTCCCTGATTCTAGCTAAGATCTCAATTTATGTACCTACTAACCCTGAACCAGTATCTTTCAGAATCTCAGGAGTAATTCCACAGGACCTGCTGCTCTGACCATAAACTGCCTTCGGTATTTTCAACCCAAAGAGTTGGAGGGTATACAATAATTTGCCGTTCAGGTCGTTTGAAGATGGTGCGTAGTTGAGGAGTTGCTGAAGGATAGTTGTTATATATATATATATATATATATATATATATATATATATATATATATATATTCATAATATGACATCGTCTCACAAATATGCCAATTCAAATAGAGTCGTTTTCTAAATATGACGAATATTTTAAAAGTTTTCTTAATGCTTAAGAGTTTGTCAGTGGAAACTAGATAATATTTTTGATTGTAAATAAGCTATTAGAATAATCCAAGTTACTTATCCTGTTGAAATAGTGCATCGTTACTGGTAAAACAGGTGAACATGAAGCGTAACTTTATGGAAGTAAACCATTTATAACATGTTGGTGAACAGGTTCAGTTCATTCTGACTATACTCTATAGAACACATTGATTCCATTCATCTTTCTCAACTATATTTTAAATTTTAAATAAAACCCCCAGAATTGTTATACAATTTACACAATATCAAAAGGTAGCTGTTTATATCATTCAATTTATTTCTTTTTCCCTATACAATTTAACATGTTAAGCCTGGTGTCTTCGCTGTCCACATATAAGCAGTGTCGTTATCGGAGCAGCTACAGTTGATCAGCTTCAAGAAAATATTAAATCAGTATTGGTAAGTATTTTAACTATTTCTGTGAAAATGTTCATCACCGTTTGCGAGTAGACAGATAAAAAAAATTCTTAATTGAAAAAAAGACTCATTCAGATGATGAATATTTGTATGACTCTGTGTTTATCAATTGACAAAGCTTTGATATTTAAATCCTTTGATGTTTAAAACGTATAGAACCGTTTGTTTTAATCTGTAATTTTCTTCATCAAATAAAATAATGTCAATAAAATCTGAGTATTTTATTCAGTATTTTTAGCTTACTATCTTATTTGAAGTTATGGTCCTACATATTTTTCATGTTTACTAACACGGTTATATTTTACTGCAATTTGCCTAGGTAGTTATAGTTATGTATGCACGTTTATGTACATCAATCAGTCAACAGCAACGTAGAACTTCGTACGTACGTACATCAGTTCAAGTTGCCATACCTTATTAGCACAGAGAGATGTAATTGTCAATTCAAATCCCATAGTAGTAGAGGTAGTGAAAGTACTTTCAGTAACCGGAGAGATTAGGGTTCGAAGATGTTATTCAAGGGGCACATAAAAGCACACGTTTATGTACATATGTCTGTTCATAAGTGACAAGCTAAAACAGTAAAAATTCAAACATACCATTTGTTTCGTAATATCACCTAAATGAACCAAAATGGTTGTGTGGTAATGTATAATTTTCGAGGCCTTCTCAGAGGGATTCTATTTTTGCTGTAATTTTTTCTTAAATTGTACATAACTTGACTACAGTTTTGCGAATGATCATGATTGTTATTCCAGTTTAGTAATCGATGACGGATCATTTAAATTAAATAACTAAGTATTACTGAGTATTACACAAGATGCCTCATTGTGCATTTTAAGTAAACATTTTATTAAGCCAGTAAACGGTATTGTTTCAATTTCTACACTTCATTATTTCTTATATCAACAAATCAACCTAAGATAAATCTATTTATTATAGGAATTTATCTTGACTGTTCACAACCTATGAGATGATTTGTATGATTATTTAGCCCACAAAGTACTTAAGTTATACTGATAAAATAGTTATTGTTTGCAGTCGTACCAAACATTTTTCTCATTTAGTGAAACTTTTGACTCAAGCACATTATCATTTTCAGGTAATCAGCAGTTAAACAGAATTTATGAATTCAATAAATCCATATAATTCTGATATGATTGTTGATCCTGATTTAGTCAAATTTATGAGAACGGAAAATTGAAATGCATATTTTCACTGTTGATTTTTGTATTTTATTTTAGATTTATCCACAGTTGACCACAAGTATCATGTCTGAATTAGACACTTTGCTAACTACAGCTGACTCAAATGATAACTTTCTTTAAAAGAACAATACAATGTTAATCACTCAATATTATTATTAAAAAACGATTGAACAGGATTCTTCTCTGTATTTACCGCAATCAAATAACATCAATAACATGGTATTTTACTTAATTTTGAGAGAAAAAAAAAAACACTGTAGACAACTATACCAAATAAATAAGAACAAAATGAAGTTTAAGAAAGAACAGAACAATTTTCAGTGTTTTCATATAAGTTATTTTTACGTGAAGATTAATAATGGTTAATCAATTTCGACTACAATGCTCTTTACTACTCTGTGTAGTGGTGATAAGTAATTTTGATCAATAAACAAAATGTTTATTTTACAACCATGTAAAAGTTTTAATAAAATGAGTTATTTTTGTCATAAATATTTATAATGCTATAATGTCTTATAAATGAATGATGGTGGTATAATATGTTTATTCGTAGAAAAGTGTAGTTATGAAGACGAAGACTAGAAGATGTATATTTGAGCTTATCTAATCAATCTTACATAAACATCAAATATATGTGCCTACAAGTACAAAGTGGTATTCTGAATAATAATACTAATTATTATTATAACGTCCATATGCAAATTTCCAGAGAATAATAAGCACAACTACCTGTCTATAAAAAGCTTGACATGGATAGCATACGATTCAATGCATTGTATCATTTAGTATTCACTGAAGAGCCAGTTTTATTAATGTAAAACTAAGCATTCTGAATGAATAAGAAAAGCTCTGTATTTTACTAATGCAAAACATAAAACATTATTAATTTATACTGTTCGATTTTTTGCTTGTACTTCAGGCTTCGAGAAAAGAGAAATGAGTGCGAAACGCTTGTAGCTTTGACGCTCTGAATCAACTATTAACTTTCAAATACTCTCCTTCATTTTATGCATCTCGCCAAATGCTCATGTGAGTAAATAAATCAAACTACGGTCTGTTTCTGAACATGAGTCAAGTTGTTACTAAAGGCTTGTAGATAGATTAGACGAGTATTCTGTGTTGATATACTTGAAAAAATAATAATTTGACGAGTATACATTCAATTTTAACTTGTTCTTAGTATATTTGATTGTGTTAAAATTGTAATTCGTCTAGTATACACCTAATTTACCACTTTTCTTCCAATGGACTTTATTTGGTTAATAGTTAAATCACTAAGTGGCTTCAAAATCAGTAAACATCAGATGACCCGATATAAACGTGGGAAATAGAAAACCATATTCATCGATCGCGAAACATAATTGAAACAGGGTCTAAGATTGACATCAAGACAGACTTTGAAACATTGTTCAAGGACCAATTCCGACGTTTATATAATCCTTGGCTATTCATAAATTAAAATCCGCTTATATGTATAGAAACACTTTGTTACAACTTTGAATCTACCCTAGTAATCTTAAAGCCATTTTATGGCTTATGGGTAGTGTGACAGTTTCTTATTCTTTCTATTTTATGTTAATTTTCTCCCTACTTCATTTACCCTATGTCTGTTTGAACTTTTATTAAAATGACCTTTTAATAAATTTTCATATAAAACGCCTTGACAAAAATATTTGTCACAAGATTGATTGTTCGAAATGTGAAACGCAAATGCATCACATTGTTTAAATCAATTACGTTTTCTCGTTGTCCTATCATAGTTTTTAAACTGAGCTAATTGTTTTGAATCACTGTCGTTTTATTAGATTTTAGCCCGAGCCATACAGTACTTCTGCATTACCAAGGTTCATATCCAATGAAATAAACTAACATAAGTCTGGTAAGCATTACATACTATCGCTGAAGTAACTACCACTTTAATACATCAATATTCATATGAATGAATTTGTAACTCGACTTCTGATATTCGAAATTATTCAAAACAAAAAATGAATATTTTGAAAATACTGGTTACAATTATTTCAGATTATAATAAATCATTTGAGAATTGTAAAACACTGGATTATGCGATCGATTATGACTGTCGAATAAACGTTGCTTTTTTCAATTTTGTGTACATGTCTACACAGATCGTAGCATTCATTACATTTATCCAGTTGAACTTAGAAAACCTTAGAAATCAGATACCGAAATTGCAGGACTGTTTTCACGAACACCGATACACATACAAATAAACGATCAATGCAAACAGTGATTTACGCAACTGTTTGTTCTGCTGCGGATTAACGCAAAATGATGTTTAGTGTGTGTGTGTGTGTGTTTATAAGTGTCGACATTGGTTAGGGTAAATAGGAAATATGAAAAAATAACGGTGATCTAAATCTTAGTTTAAAAAGCCTTAGGCTTCTCATTTATTTATTATGGTAATTACAAATAGATTCAGTTTCGTTTATTTTATTCCAAGGGGACAGAGGAAACTTCAGCTTCAATTGTACAGTTCAATACAGTCTAAATATTGTTCAAATCATCATTTTTATTTCATTGAAATCCTGAATCGATCAATTGTAGAGTAATATTAGAAACATGAAAGCATTGAGCGGCCGTTTCATTCTGGTACAGAACTTATATGCAGTGCGCATCCACGACTCTTGCAACTCAGGATTCGAACCCAGGACTTTCGGTCTTGCGTGCCAGCGCATTGAGCCGGTGTTTAACGGTGTTAATGTCTAACTTCTAGCGAAACTGTGGACCGATCAAAGTTACTGGAGTCGTGGACAGGCACTGCTGATGAGTCCCACACGAGGACGAAACGGCCGTCCAGAGCTTCCAGGTTTCTAATGATAGTCTAACATTGACCGATTCAAGTAACTCAATAATCTCCACAATCCTATTATGCAAACATCATTTTTATCTCAAAAAATTCCAATGAGTACAAGGGAAGATGTAAAAGTGGATTATTTCGAGATGAGATTTATTTTTTCCTTTATAATTTAATTATCCATTTTTATTAGAAAATTAATAATGTTGTTCAACAATGTTGAACGAGAATAAGCCATTTATTAATAAATATATATTCCCAAAACCACTGATGGGTGAATGTTTTTCAGTAACTAAATCTCATATAAGGCCAAAACAACAAGTAGGCAGAATGGTAGGAATTCATCATGTTTTATGGTTTATTATGGGAGGCATTTCCAGGCAGATAGGTTGCATTGAAAAAACAAGTTCATTTTAGGCTTTCTTTTTAGTAATGTTAGCGAGAGTGACTTCTGTTTGTAGCTTATTGAGTACAAGCTGTTTTAATTTAGCTAAACTCTATTCCGTGTACTTTAACGATCGATGTGTCTTTATAGTTTTCCATGTATAACCACCAAAATTAATAGAAAAGTATACCTAACCCAACTTACTTGTCGAATAAGATACAATGGAAAAAAAACAAGTTCTTTTATTTGCGCTTCAAAGGAGATAAGATCAGAGGATAAATAGCTGGATGAAAATTACTTATAAAGTAGCCATAATTGTTATTGTGTGTGAAACGAACTGCTCACTGAGACAAAAAATAATCGACAAGTCGTCTCTCCTCAGTACCTTCAACTACATTTACCAATTTACGTATAGGTGTCAAACCACATACAGTGGAAGAACAAAGAGAAGAGTACATGCCCAAGCAGTAGCAATTTAGAAACTTAAAAATGATTTATTTGTTCAAGGAGAGATAGTAATGATAATTTTCAATTATTTACTATAGTTATTATAGTTCTTGCTTAACCAGCTTGCCTATGTCACATGTACACATGCTGCCTTTTACATATCACACAGTTTTACACGTTAGCCATCACGCTATTCCGTTTGATCAAAAGGGTATGTACATGTCGAATAGATTATCCCGCAAGCAAGGCGGACATCCAATCAGTGTGCGAACGAGCATAACCCCGCACGGGTGCTTATGAATCAATTCATTCCCTCCAACCAGACCACTGTCTACATTCCTCAATCGGCATGGGTGGCAAGAGGCATTAAGATGTGTTCATTTTGTTGCATAATCTTCACTAAACTTATACTTATTTTTTATAATCTAAAATCATATTTTCATTCATTCATTTCTCTGAACTTGTGGTGGAGTTTTATTCTCTAAACTTATTTTAATTCCTTTAAATCTTGTTTAGTTATTACGTAATTCTGCAATTACTAAGTCTAGACAACTTCTGTAATTATCTTATTTGTTTCCAGATTTTATTTAATTATATCTCATTCCTTTCCATGTTTATATTTGAGTTCCATGTTCCATGCCTCAATCTTGTTCAAGCATAAATATATACATGTTCATTATTGTAATTCTTTCCGTCATTAATGTCCATTGCTTTATATTATATTATACTTCATTGTTAGACTTCATTAAGTATATAGTTGTTAGTAGCTGAAATATAATAAATCCGTATTATTCTACCTCACTTACTGTTCTGAACTTATTTAAATTCATTAAGGGAACGAACTGCATCAAACTTAATTTTAATTGTGTATCTATAAAGTCAAATAAGAGTATGTGGACTAGTTGCGTCACAGAAGGCACTGAAAGGCAAATCATTAAGCTTATCTTTAGTTGCTGAATTCCGCCGACATGTAACTGTCAGAAAATGGTTATCGATTACATTACGCAAGCCATATTTATTGGTAGTTCTACTTTCCAATCGAGTTTATAACTGAAACCATCGTTGACACAGGTATTTCCTAAATGTTTAAGTGAACCATTAGATGAATCTGACAAATGCAGTCTAATTCTGTTTTGGGAGAATTTTATCAGTTTTTGAAAATATCATCAGATTTGTTGTAATTAGCCTACAGAAAAACAAACGGATTTAAAGCCAGTTTAAACACAGTGTCTAAAGTACGTGTAACTCATGATGAGTCGAAATTAAGCATCATAACAAGGGAAATAATGAGTCATAATTTTACTGTATATTTATTAGACTCTTGGATTATTGTATTATTGTATTCTATTATTCTTCAATTTTAGATGAAAGCATAAATCGTTGTTATATATATATATCTTACTGCTCCAGATTTATGATTAATTATTGTCCCCCTCATTCTTTGTATTTGCAACACTTATGACTCAGTCGTGTATATTCAATGCAATTTTCTATTTGTGTAGTTGTGGGCCTAAGTTTTGAGGTATGTTACTGTGTAGATTTCCAGACACTGAAGTGAATTAAGTAGGAGAATTAATCTTCTTTCTATCATCGTCTTTTGATTGAGCGATGAGTTGAAAATCAATTACTCGAGGATTTATAGAAGACATTAAGGTCTTGGTTGTTGCTCACTAGTTAGCGTCGTTTTAGAAACAAACAGAAAGTCGCTCTTTCTGCAGAGAATACAAGTGAACGAATCAAAAAACGGACGAAATAACGCAAATACTCCCCTAATAACGACTTAGTCACGCAAGTTACAATATAATTTCAAACTTCCGGTTTTTTTATTATAGATAGAA